CAGAGCCGCGCCGCGCCGATCACGCTCACTGCCAGGTGATGAACGCCGCCTGCCCGCCGCAGGATCCGAGGACACCGAGTGATTTTAGTACATTTATACTCCATTTTTGTTCATAAAATACAAAAGGAAACATTTTACGTGATCGGTCATCCCGGTGCGATGTGGACACTGAAATCGCATCTAATGAAGGTGAATGTCGGCGTCTTAGTACGTGCGATTTGCTGCAGAGCGATTTCTAAAGTAGTTCTTTCATTTCTTTTCCTGCAGTTTTGCTGCGATTTCACCTACATAAAATATAATGGAAATCGCAAATGGCAAGAAATCGTTGAAAATCTTCACAAGTAGCAATAAAGTCTTCAGAAATCGCGCTGAAATTGCACACAAATCGCAGCGGTGTGACCAGTGACTAAATCTGAACTCGGGCCTCCCCTCCAGTGTTGCACAGCTGTACCGGCTCCTCCCCTTCAGTCTTGCACAGGTGTACCGGGTCCTCCCCTCCAATCTTGCACAGGTGTACCAGCTCCTCCCCTTCAGTCCGGCACAGGTGTACCGGCTCCTCCCCACCAATCTTGCACAGGTGTACCTGCTCCTCCCCTTCAGTCTTGCACAGGTGTAACGCCTCCTCCCCTTCAGTCATGCACAAGTGTACCGGCTCCTCCCCTCCAGTCTTGCACAGGTGTACTGGCTCCTCCCTTCCAGTCTTGCACAAGTGTACGAGCTCCTCCTCTTCAATTTTGCAGTTATATTGGCTCCTCCCCTCCAGTCTTGCACAGGTGTACTGGCTCCTCCCCTTCAGTCTTGCACAGGTGTACCGGCTCCTCCCCTTCACTCTTGCACAGGTGTACCGGCTCCTCCCTTCCAGTCTTGCACAAGTGTACGAGCTCCTCCTCTTCAATTTTGCAGTTATATTGGCTCCTCCCCTTCAGTCTTGCACAAGTGTACCAGCTCCTCCTCTTCAGTCTTGCTCAGGTGCACCAGCTCCTCCCCTTCAGTCTTGCACAGGTGTACCGCCTCCTCCCCTTCAGTCTTGCACAGGTGTACCGGCTCCTCCCCTTCAGTCTTGCACAGGTGTACCGGCTCCTTCCCTTCAGTCTTGCACAGGTGTACCGGCTCCTCCCCTTCAGTCCTGCACAGGTGTACTGGCTCCTCCCCTCCAATCTTGCACAAGTGTACCTGCTCCTCCCCTCCAGTCTTGCACAGGTGTACCGGCTCCTCCCCTTCAGTCTTGCACAGGTGTACCGGCTCCTCCCCTCCAGTCTTGCACAAGTGTACGAGCTCCTCCTCTTCAATTTTGCAGTTATATTGGCTCCTCCCCTTCAGTCTTGCACAGGTGTACCGGCTCCTCCCCTTCAGTCTTGCACAGGTGTACCGGCTCCTCCCCTTCAGTCTTGCACAGGTGTACCCGGCTCCTTCCCTTCAGTCTTGCACAGGTGTACCGGCTCCTCCCCTTCAGTCCTGCACAGGTGTACTGGCTCCTCCCCTCCAATCTTGCACAAGTGTACCTGCTCCTCCCCTCCAGTCTTGCACAGGTGTACCGGCTCCTCCCCTTTCAGTCTTGCACAGGTGTACCGGCTCCTCCCCTCCAGTCTTGCACAAGTGTACGAGCTCCTCCTCTTCAATTTTGCAGTTATATTGGCTCCTCCCCTTCAGTCTTGCACAAGTGTACCGGCTCCTCCTCTTCAGTCTTGCACAGGTGCACCAGCTCCTCCCCTTCAGACTTGCACAAGTGTACCGGCTCCTCCTCTTCAGTCTTGCACAGGTGCACCAGCTCCTCCCCTTCAGTCTTGCACAAGTGTACCTGCTCCTCCCCTCCAATCTTGCACAGGTGTACCAGCTCCTCCCCTTCAGTCCTGCACAGGTGTACCGGCTCCTCCCCTCCAGTCTTGCACAGGTGTACCGGCTCCTCCCCTTCAGTCTTGCACAGGTGTAACGGCTCCTCCCCTTCAGTCATGCACAAGTGTACCGGCTCCTCCCCTCTAGTCTTGCACAGGTGTACCGGCTCCTCCCCTTCAGTCTTGCACAGGTGTATCGGCTCCTCCCCTTCAGTCTTGCACAGGTGTACCAGCTCCTCCCCTCCAGTCTTGCACAAGTGTACGAGCTCCTCCTCTTCAATTTTGCAGTTATATTGGCTCCTCCCCTTCAGTCTTGCACAAGTGTACCTGCTCCTTCTCTTCAATCTTGCACAGGTGCACCAGCTCCTCCCCTTCAGTCTTGCACAGGTGTACCGACTCCTTCCCTTCTGTCTTGCACAGGTGTACAGGCTCCTCCTCTTCAGTCTTGCACAGGTGTACAGGCTCCTCCCCTTCAGTCTTGCACAGGTGTACCTGCTCCTCCTCTTCAGTCTTGCACAGGTGTATCGGCTCCTCCCCTTCAGTCTTGCACAGTTGTACCAGCTCCTCCCCTTCAGTCTTGCACAGGTGTACCAGCTCCTCCCCTTCAGTCTTGCACAGGTGAGCTTCTCACAATGCGCATTAGCAGCTGCAGCAAGTAAGAGAGAGCTCCGCCTCCTTTCCTAACTGGAGGACATCCAGCATCATCTAGCTTTTCCTCCCCAGCCTGACTGTCCCTGGCAGGAACATAAATATTAAAAAAAAGGTGGTGTTTGCTGTTTGCTAGGAATAGGCAGCCATCGCCCCCTTTTGTACAGCGACACCTTATAGTACGGCGACATTTGTCATAGAAACATAGAAAAGTGAGGGCAGAAAAAGACGGATTGGTCCATCAAGTCTGCTCGTTTGTTGTGTTGTTTTTTTTTGTCTGTGTGTGTTTTTGTGTTTTCTTTTCTTTTTTTTTTGGAGGGGGGGGGGGTTGGTTTTGTTTTTTGTTTTATTTGTTAACTTGTTTGTCTGAGTATAGATCTATGCTCGTCCCCAGCATGTTTGAAGCTATTTACTGCTGACCGGCTCACTACCTCTGCTGGAACTTTATTCCCGGCATCAACTACTCTTTCAGTAAAATAATACTTTCTGAGATTAGTTTTGAACAGTTGTCATGGAAACAAAGAACCGTGATGGCAGAAGACCGAGTGGTCAATCGAGTCTGCCGTTTTGTTTTGTTTGTTTTTGCGTGTGTGTTTTTTCTGGTTGGTTGGTTGTTCTTTTTTTTATTGTTTTTATTTTGTTTTTTTTTTTTTGCGTTTGTGTTTTTCTGGTTGGTTGTTCTTTTTTTGTTATTGTTTTTTATTTTTTTTTTTTTTTTTGCGTTTGTGTTTTTCTGGTTGGTTGTTTTCTTTGTTTTTGTTTTGTTTTGTGGGGGTTTTCTTTGGGGGGGGTTGAGTTGTTTTTTGTTTGTTCGTTTTGTGGGTTTTTTTTTTTTTTAATTATCTTTTTTTTGTCTGAGTATAGATCTATGCTTGTCCCAAGCATGTTTGAAGCTATGTCCAAGTGTTCAGTTCCGCTCCTATTCCCAACTCCTTATTTTGAGTACAGCTCTGCCCCTGTAGTTCCCCTTTAATCCGGGAATATCGCTTACATCCTGAACCGGACCCTTCCTGGGAAATTTCCCACCAGGATCTGGTGTGGAGCGTGTCGGATGGGATTTCACGGGTCATAAATCCGCCCATTGAACGCCCAAGCGGTGGGTTTTATGTGAACATCTGAGAGAGAAGAGATGGAGATGGAGTCCCAACATTCCTGACGCTCCAAGAATTAGATTTATTCTGGGGACACCGGACCCCTCCTCTCCATGACCCAATATTGGTGTCACCGGCCTGATGAACATCAATGCTGAGCCCTAGAAGTCTACAAGTCCCATGTATCAGCACCGAGGGGGGGGGCAATGGAAGGGACAGTTTTTTCCAGACAATAAAAATATTATTATTATACAGGATTTATGGCGCCAACAGTTTGCTCAGCACTTTACAATATAAGGGAGACAATACAGCAACAATACAGTTCAATACAAGAGGGATAGGAGGGCCCTGATCCTAGGAGCTTACAATCTAGGAGGGAGGGGCTAGTGGAACAAAATATAGTAACTGTGGGGGATGGAGTGGTAGGAGTAGAAGATTCCATTATTAGCTGAGGGCAGGATAGGCTTCCCTGAAGAGATCGGTTTTCAGAGATCGCCTAAAAGTGAGCAGAGTAGGCGATAGTCTGATAAAATTGGGGTAGAGAGTTTCAGAGGATGGGGGAAGCTCTGGAAAAGTCCTGGAGACGAAATATATACAATGTATCATATTCCCAACACTAAAATCTTTTGTCATGGCTCCATATTTTACAGATTTGTGATAGTACATCGCGCCTCCTTGGTTCCCACCCTCCTCGCTCCCGGGGTTTAGACAGAACAGGACTCGGGGGGTAAAAATATAAACAAAGCCACATAGGCTGAAATAATACATCAAAAGGAAAATGTATCTACTTGTTGGAATACAATGTTCATGTATAACGTACAACAACTACATCAGGATCCAGACAAGATATATTCTTCAACCAGTAGATGGCAGTGTTTGTATGTCTGTAGCTGCATCTATGGTATACTTCATGTCTTTTCTCTGAATAAAGTCTCCTGTTTCCTTGTTGCAGTGAAGCAGAGAAGTACACGTGGACTGTGGTCTGTTCTGTAGGGCTCTATAGACAGAAAACAGTATAAAACCCAAAAGCAGACATTTACTTTATTGCAGCTTACCAATTCTGAGAGGTTGCAGCTGCATTCATTTTCATTTTTAGGCTTTCCTTCTATTTTCATCTGGTGATCCAGTCAGCAAGTCTGTGGTTTTTCAAAAACAAAAAGCCAGCTCTCCAGCAGAAATGTATCAGTTTACATGGGTAAGACAAGTGAGTGTTTTGGCCAAATCATAATTTTTAGGCAACTCCAAGCTGTATGAACTTGAATGCTTATTGGATGGAAGCCTATCAGGTGTCTTTGTGTAATGAGGGAGGGTGTGGCCTAAGGAGATGAGCACCCTATATAAAGGTGTTCATAATTATTGGACAGCTTCTTTTCTTCAGGTAAACTGGGCCAAAAAGGAGATTTAACTGACTCAGAAAAGTCAAAAATTCTCAACAGGGTTGCTAGAAATGTGTTTGAGAAAAAAAGATGTAAATTAATTAGCAAAGATTTGCACAGAATCAAACCTTGAGACTACCAGGAACCCATTATCCTCCAGTGCAGTCCTATTCCAGAACCGCAACCTACTTGGAGTGGCCAGAAGTACGAGGTGTCCAGCGCCTAGAGACATGGCCAAGGTCAGGACGGCTGAAATCCGCCCACCACTGAACGAGACACAGAAGACTGGACCAAGAAATATCGGAAGACAGATTCTTCAAAGGTTTTATGGACTGATGAGATGAGAGTGACTCTTGACGGACCGGATGGATGGGCCCTTGGCTGGATTAGTAACGGGTACAGAGGTCCACTTCGACTGAGACGCCAACAAGGTGGGCCAAGAAATATCGGAAGACAGATTTTCAAAGGTTTTATTGGACTGATGAGATGAGAGTGACTCTTGACGGACCGGAATGGTTGGCTGGATTATTGACTTATGAGACGCCAACAAGGTAATCGGAGACAGATGGTTTTACTCTGAGATGAGAGTGACTCTTGATGGACCAGATGGATGGACCCGTGGCTGGATTAGTAATGGGGACAAAGGTCAACTTTGACTGAGACGCCAGCAAGGTGGACTTTCCTGCTGGATCTCTATACTGACAGGGACGGGGGATGGGTGAGGAATGTAAGGACGTCCCATCGTTTGAAGGAAATGAAAATGATCGACCTACAGAGGACTGAATTCAAAGACACCCCGAAAATCAAAGTGAAGAAATGATACAGCAGGCGAGTCCATTTTTATGAAATGTCATTGCAGCAACTCAGAATGGTCCTCAGTAGTTTGTGTGGCCCCCACGTGCTTGTATGCATGCCTGACAACCTCGGGGGAGGCTCCTAATGAGACCATGGATGGTGTCCTGGGGGATTTCCTCCCAGATCTGGACCAGGGCATCACTGAGCTCCTGGACAGTCTGAGGTGCAACCTGGTGGTGTCAGATGACATGACATCCCAGAGGGGTTCTATTGGATTTAGATCAGGCGAGCGTGAGAACCATTCAGTGGTATCAATTCCTTCATCCTCCAGGAACTGCCTGCATACTCTCCCCACATGAGGCCGGTATTGTCTGCATCAGGAGGAACCCAGGACCCACTGCACCAGTGTAGGCTCTGACAATGGGTTCAAGGATTTCATCTCCATACCTAATGAAAGTCAGAGTGCCATTGTCTAGCCTGTAGAGGTCTGTGCGTCCTTCATGGATATGCCCCCCCAGGCCATCACTGACCCACCACCAAAACGGTCATGCTGAACCATGTTACAGGAGCAGAACATTCTCCACGGCTTCTCCAGACCCTTTCCCGTCTGTCACATGTGCTCAGGGGGAACCTGCTCTCAACTGTGAAAAGCACAGGGTGCCAGTGGTGGACCTGCCAATTCTGGTGTTCAATGGAAAATGCCAATCCAGCACTATGGTGCCGGGCAGTGAGCACAAGGCCCACTAGAGGAAGTCGGGCCCTCAGGCCACCCTCATGAAGTCTGTTTTCTGATTGTTTGGTCAGAGACATTCACACCAGTGGCCTGCTGGAGGTCATTTTGTAGGGCTCTGGCAGGGCTCATCCTGTTCCTCCTTGCACCAAGGAGCAGATAGAGGTCCTGCTGATGGGTTAAGGACCTTCTCCGGCCCTGTCCAGCTCTCCTAGAGGAACTGCCTGTCTCCTGGAATCTCCTCCATGCTCTTGTCTCCTGGAATCTCCTCCATGCTCTTGTCTCCTGGAATCTCCTCCATGTTTTTGAGACTGTGCTGGGAGACACAGCAAACCTTCTGGCAATGGCACGTATTGATGTGCCGTCCTGGAGGAGTTGGACTGCCTGTGCAACCTCTGTAAGGTCCAGGTATCCCCTCATGCTACCAGTAGTGACACTGACCCTAGCCAAATGCAAAACAAGTAAAAAACATCCAGAAAAGATGAGTAGGGAAAAAATGTCAGTGTCCTCCACCTGTAAAACCATTCCTGTTTTGGGGGTCGTCTCATTGTTGCCCATCTGGTGCACCTGTAGTTCATTTCATTACCACTAAAGCAGCTGAAACTGATTAACAACCCCCTCTGTGACTTACCTGATCAGATCCATATCCCAGGAGCGTCATTGACTTGATGCCGGACTCGGATTAAAAAGTGTCCCTTTAGTTTTTTGAGCAATGTATAATAAATAATAATCCCAGTGGTGATCAAATGCCACCACAATAAAGCTCTGAAAAAAATTATATATTTTCATTTTGGTACAGTGTGGCATGATAGCTCAAATGCCAGTTAAAGTAGCACAGTGCTGAATAGCAAACAAAGGTCATAGAAACAGAAAAGTGACGGAAGAAAAAAGACTGAGTGGTCCATCGAGTCCGCCCATTTTTTTTTGGGGGGGGGGGGCGGAGCTCTGTGTGTATTTTTGTGTTTTCTTTTTTTGGTTGTTCTTTTTTTTTTGGGGGGGGGGTGGTTTTGTTTTTCTCTTTTGTTTTATTTGTTAACTTTTTTGTCTGAGTATAGATCGTGTTTGAAGCTATTTACTGATGACCGGCTCACTACCTCTGCTGGAAGTTTATTCCGGACATCAACTACTTTTTCAGTAAAATATCACTTTCTGAGATTAGTTTTGAATTTTCCTCCAGTTAGTTGGAGGTCCTGTCCTCGTGGTCTTCATTTTGGTTTTGCGTTGAAAATTCTGCCCTCCTAAACCTTATTCACCCCCTTGTTGTATGTAAAGGTTTCAGTCATGTCTCCCTTTTCCCTTCTTTCCTCCAGACTGAACATGTTAAGTTCCTGGAGTTGTTCTTGTTGATGTGTTTTATCCTTCAGACCTTCCACCATTTATGTTCGAGAACTGGACATCGAGTTCTAAATGAGGTCTACCTAAAGATCTATATAGAGGGATCAGGACCTCCTTCCTCCTGCCGGTGACCCCTCTAGTGATATAAAGATCTATATAGAGGAATCAGGACCTCCTTCCTCCTGCCGGTGATCCTTCTAGTGATATAAAGATCTATATAGAGGAATCAGGACCTCCTTCCTCCTGCCAGGGACCTCTCTAGTAATGTAAAGATCTATATAGAGGAATCAGGACCTCCTTCCTCCCGCCGGTGACCCCTCTAGTGATATAAAGATCTATATAGAGGAATTGGGACCTCCTTCCTCCTGCCGGTGATCCTTCTAGTGATATAAGATCTATATAGAGGAATCAGGACCTCCTTCCTCCTGCCGGGGACCCTCTCTAGTAATGTAAAGATCTATATAGAGGAATCAGGGCCTCCTTCCTCCTGCCGGTGATCCTTCTAGTGATATAAAGATCTATATAGAGGAATCAGGACCTCCTTCCTCCTGCCAGGGACCTCTCTAGTAATGTAAAGATCTATATAGAGGAATCAGGACCTCCTTCCTCCTGCCGGTGATCCTTCTAGTGATATAAAGATCTATATAGAGGAATCGGGACCTCCTTCCTCCTGCCGGGGACCCCTCTAGTGATATAAAGATCTATATAGAGGAATCAGGACCTCCTTCCTCCTGCCGGTGACCCCTCTAGTGATATAAAGACCTATATAGAGGAATCGGGACCTGCTTCCTCCTATTGGTGACCCCTTTAGTGATGCAAAGATCTATATAGGGGAATCAGGACCTCCTTTCTCCTGCCGGTGACCCCTCTAGTGATGCAAAGATCTATATAGAGAAATCGGGACCTCCTTCCTCCTGCCGGGGACTACTCTAGTGATATAAAGATCTATATAGAGGAATCAGGACCTCCTTCCTCCTGCCGGTGACCCCTCTAGTGATATAAAGATCTATATAGAGGAATCGGGACCTCCTTCCTCCTGCCGGTGACCCCTCTAGTGATATAAAGATCTATATAGAGGAATCGGGACCTCCTTCCTCCTGCCGGTGACCCCTCTAGTGATATAAAGATCTATATAGAGGAATCGGGACCTCCTTCCTCCTGCCGGTGACCCCTCTAGTGATATAAAGATCTATATAGAGGAATCAGGACCTCCTTTCTCCTGCCGGTGACCCCTCTAGTGATATAAAGATCTATATAGAGGAATCAGGACCTCCTTCCTCCTGCCGGTGACCCCTCTAGTGATATAAAGATCTATATAGAGGAATCAGGACCTCCTTCCTCCTGCCGGGGACTACTCTAGTGATATAAAGATCTATATAGAGGAATCAGGACCTCCTTCCTCCCGCCGGTGACCCCTCTAGTGATATAAAGACCTATATAGAGGAATCAGGACCTCCTTCCTCCTGCCGGTGACCCCTCTAGTGATAGGATCTATATAGAGGAATCAGGACCTCCTTCCTCCTGCCGGTGACCCCTCTAGTGATATAAAGATCTATATAGAGGAATCGGGACCTCCTTCCTCCTGCCGGTGACCCCTCTAGTGATATAAAGATCTATATAGAGGAATCAGGACCTCCTTCCTCCTGCTGGTGACCCCTCTAGTGATAGATCTATATAGAGGAATCGGGACCTCCTTCCTCCTGCTGGTGACCCCTCTAGTGATTTCTTTGCATTCTAAAATTTTATTCGCTTTCCCCACTGCCTGGTCACACTGTTTGGTCATTTTGCAATTATCTGAAATAAGTACCCCCAAGTCCCTTTCCTCTGTAGTGCTGGCCAGCACTGTACCCCCAATGTTGTACTCTCTCAAGGGATTCTTTATCCCTAGGTGCATTATTTTACATTTGGAAAAATTGAATTGCAATTTCCACTTTTTTGACCAATCTTCCAGCAAAGCCAAATCCTGTTCCCATGTTAGATACCTCCTGGGATATCAACTCCCTATTTACACACCTTTGTGTCATTCAGCAAAGAGACATCCCCTTACCCAACAAACCTTTAGTTCTATCACTTACATATGGATTACATAGAACAGGACCCAGTGCAGAGCCTTGGGGTACACCAGTAGTGACTGGTCTCTTTTCCGAGTGAACCCCATTTACAACCATACTCTGGTATCTATCCTTTGGCCAGCTGCCTATCCACTGAACCCCCCACGATCTAGGTCCTAGCTTGTACAACTTTTGTATTAGATCATTATGTGGAACTGTATCACATGCCTTCTTGCTGAAATCAAGAGTATGCCGTGTCCACAGCACCACCCTGGTGATACAGTAAAAATCAATCAATCCGATCAGTCTGACATGATCTGCCCTCAGTTGGATCCAGCAAGTTGTGTGTTTTTAGGTGATCAATGATCCTTCTTTTCGAGAATGATTCCATTACTTGTCTACAACCGATGATAAACTCACTGGCCTGTAATCTCCGGCTTCTACCTTGCTGCCCTTCTTGTGGATCGGTACAATATTAGGTTTCCGCCAGTCATGGGGAACTTCTCCTGTTAGAAGTGATTGTGACGGGAGTCACTTTGGGTGGGGGGTCCATGGAACCCAGCTCACTTCGGAGAGGTGGGGAGACCCCTGTCTCAGCT